GCAGATATACTGGCAGGGGTGCGCAAAATCACGTGTATATATACATGGTTTTGTATTTCCGGGTAGGGGGCGCGTAAAGGATCATATTACATGTAAAGGATTCCAATAAAGGATTTCATCCACCACATTGCTGTTTGTTCGGCCAACCATTCTGTTTTTCTATGGCATCTGTGATCACGGATCGGGCCAGCACCTGCGTGCCTGTGGAGGGGTTATGCAGATTCGGCACTCACCTGGAGCAGATATTTTGCTCTTTCAGGGGGCGCGTGTAACGGCTGTCAATCCCCGGGGTCCCGGACGGTGATTACTCACCGGCGCCCAGTGATTACCGAGCATCTCCGATGGGAAGGAGGACTTCTTTGTTTACTAACAGTCCTCCTCCCTGTCAGCTTGGGCAGTTTACAGTGATTACAGTGAAGCACACTGACACGGCCCCCTAGTAAAACACTCCCAGCACACAGTTAACCTTTTAATCACCCCTCATGTTAACCCCTTCCTGCCCAGTGCCATTAGTACAGTGTCAGTTCTTTTTTTTAATCACTGATCACTGTGTTGGTGTCACTGGGGATGTCATTGCCACCAAGCAGTTCCTCTGTGTCATAATTTCAGAGTGAGATTGTGAGTCCTGGTGCTAAAGAAATTTCAGAGTATAACCAGGAATTTGGTTGTTATTTAAAGTGGTTCAAAAGCTAAAACTTTTTTTTCACCTTAATGCATTAAGTTTCGGTTCACATATAGTTTGAACTGCATCCAATCAGCATGACAAAACCTTTTTACATCTTTTTATCCTCCTCACCTCCCTAAACATTTAGCTGAGTCTTCAATCGATCCAGTGCTGTGCACACTTGCATCTCTTCTCCCCACTCTCTTCCTCTTCCATAGGCATTTAGGCAGCAGCAGGAGCCATTAGAACCTGCTGCTACCAACCAAATGCTGTGAGCAAGTGGGGGGCATGGCCAAGCCATGAGGTGTTTGTCTATGGACACATGGCTCAGGAGCAAACACTGATTGTGTCCCCCCATAGCAAGCAGCTTGCTATGGGGACACACAAAGAAGAGGAAACAAAATCGCAGGGAACCCCAGAAGAGGAGGTTAAGGGCCACTCTGTGCTAAACCATTGCACACAGCAGGTGAGTATAACATGTTTATTATTTTATTTTTAAAAAAAAATCTTTTAGTATTACCTTAAAAGAATTATCCTAGCACATTCTTCCTACAAAAAATTGGGTGCCCTTCTCTCAACTGACTGCTCATGCTGGCCAAGAAACACTTATACCAACATGGAAAAGTCACCAATGTGTACTACTGTCTGTGAGATACGCAAGTCCTGGTGCTGAAGTGCAGGTTATTTTGTATTACCATATGAAGGGATCTTTTATATTAATCTGAAATGCCCTTTAGCCCTTGGTAGCTACAACAGGTGTCCAGGAGGTGTTCTATCACATAACTAAAGTGTTCTGAGACTTGCTATCATTCTACTTTATATTTTATTACGGCATGAAGAATGTGATTTAATCATTGCCTTACTTGCAGGTGCTCAGCTTTAATGTCTTAACCTTGCTTCCGCTCGTAATTAGTGTTATGCTCTATTAAGAGTTATCTCAAGAAGTGCCCTTAATTGAGAGGTTTATGATTCTGTAATTTTGTATGGTTGTTTTCTGCTTTCTATTTAGCTTAGTTATCTTGATATAGGCTGCAAATACAAAAATCTTGTAACAAGCATCTGCCAAGAAATAGGCTTTCGAGTAACCTAATGGAAGAAAACCAAACCTCCCACTCAGCTTCTTACCTTAGTAGCACAGACACAGTCTCTTTGACTATTTACAGCCTAACCACTTAAAATATTCTTCAGAAGCAGTCACCTATATAGTGAGCCATTCTAAATTTGTATGAAGTTACCTCCATTACTGTAAATGCTTTGAAGTCCAACCCTATACATTTATATGGGCTCACTGCTGAAACTCATCAGGTGCAGTTGAAGAAAGTTGGGACTCCTTTTTATGCATTCATTCAGGGACCCCTCAGTATGGGGTCCTCTCACAAATATTTGTCCACTGGACAATGATTGTCAACAGATACTGTATGGCTATCCTTGTAGATGACCAAATATGTTGCTGATTGAGCCATGCCCTGCCTAAAAGGATAAGTGTTAGGCAACATGATCTGTATGTGTATGGGAAACTTAATGGAATCAAACTCCCCAATAAGCAAGCCTCCTTCTAAAATAGATGGAGTTATGTTGAGTAGGGGGAATATTATTAGTACAGAGGGTAGAGCTTAATTCACTGCTGTAAAATAACCCAAATACTAAATAACCTAAGTGAAGGTGAAGTGCTTTAGGTGTCTCCTTTCCAGATTCACTATTTAATAGTAAAATGTTTTTACTGAGCTATAGGAAAATATTTTTTTAGACCTAATTTTAAAGTTAAGATTTTTATATACCATCTGCAAAATGATCATTATACCGCTTTTATGGCTTTCATTGCTATTTGTTGTCAGTGAACGATCTTGCACTCATTCATCGAGTGTTGGTGATTTCTTCTATCACTTCCAAATTATATCTCAGCAGATGAGCAGAAAACATTTATCATCTGTGCTATGTGTTGATTTATTTTTCCATGAAAAAGAATCTCCAAGGTCAGATGTGAGCATAATCTGTGTTTTGAGAACATCTTAATTCTGCAAATAAATGACTGCTAGCAAAAACACATCCAGTGTATATGACTTCTGCACCTCTAGTGCCGCACTAGGAAATGTTTCTCTCCTTGTAGTATGTAGAGCCAATGTTTGCAAAGTGCTTGTGTGTATTGAGCCCTTTTGGCCCTTCTTTATGGGGAAGGTATGGCATTGATTTTGAACGTGTTCTTTTTAGCAGTACAAGTGGTACTTGAGTGACTTGAGTTTCCCAAAGTGCTATACAAGAGAAGTAGATCTTATGGTGTCAAGCAACAACGCCTGTTAAGTAAGCTTTGGCATTGCATTTTAGTATTGCTTAGTTTAAATAGAAATTGTTGCAGGATCTCCTAAATTTCCTATAGGCTTCTGAAATTTTGTGTAATAAGTTCTAGTTACTGTACTAAAATGCACAATGCAATTTTCTATAGCACATTAAAAGAAAACATGTTAAAATGTGATTAAAAAGATAACCGGCACTCCTCTGGGCAATCAGCTCATGTCATTACACTAACTCCTCTTCATTTATTTCCTACCTTATTCGCTACAGCACTTTCCAACAAGACACGCAGTGGAGTCATCAAAATCTTGGTAGTACCGTAGGTCATAGAAAAGCACCACCTTTAATAAATCCTTTTTTTGTAGGCTTTGTTTTTATAGCCTATGAATAAAGCAACCCATATCTGACAATCTTTCAAGTGACATTTTATTGGCCATTTGGGAAAACAATGGGTGGTCTTTCTTGCAAGCACACTGTTCTTTCAACAGGTATATCTTTGCACTTATTGAAGAGATAATACAAATTCTTTTTAGCATTCTTTGGCATACTTAACAGACCAAAAGAGAGCAAATAAGAGAAGTCTTTTGTTGGAATCTGTATTTATTTTTGTAAATAAACTCTGCAACGCATATAATATTTTGTAGGAGGTGATATGAAATGTACAATTGTGCCTGTGGAATCCTTTGCTGGAGGAAGATCTGTAAAAACTGTGGGCCTCTTCCTGCCCTGTGCATTATTTGAGTTTTAGTAGTACTTTGTGATTCTTTTAGATCACACAACATTTTGTATAGGGACGAATGCATGGAATTCAGTGAAACTGAATTCATTTTTGCTGATAAATTCTGCTAAATTCGCCTCCACTTGACCCCAGTGCATTTTTCCATTTGGCAAAAGTTTGGTGAAAAGTGGAATCATAGGGGCAAATTTAACTAAAATTCTCATGAAATTACACCTCTCAACTCTGATCCTCTGTATTTAAAGTGGCTGTAGACCCTCTTGTATACCCAGTGAAGTGAATAACCTCAGATGATACACAGAGGTGAAACAAATCCTCCTACATAAGTTTTACTTGTTTATTTGCAGTCTTCTCTTTTGTACATCCCTTTTAAAAGTGCTGATTTTAGGTAAAATCCTTCTGTGTTTCTCAGTATCACAGAGGAGGGGGCAGTGAGCTGCAGTTAGAGCTGACTGGAGGAAAGGGACACTCCTCCTCCACACAGCACACAGGGGCTACTGTATGTCAATAGACAAGCTGTCTGCTGAACTACCCCTCCCTCCGACACAAATTTATCTCACATGTTGGGAAAACTTCTCTGAAGTGACACATGCTGATAACAGAGGAACACCAGAGAGAAATGGTACTTACAGCTTTGGAGAGAGACAAGAGAACACTACAGATAGCTGTGCTCTGTTCAGATTTCAAGACTGAGCTTTACAACCACTTTAACCACTTGCCTACCAGGCACTTATACCCCCTTCTTTACCAGGCCAATTTTCAGCTTTCAGCGCTGCCGAAATTTGATTGTCAATTGCGCGGTCATGCAAGATTGTACCCATATGAAATTTTTTGCATTTTTTTCTCACAAATAGAGCTTTCTTTTGGTGGTATTTAATCGCCACTGGGCACTTTACTTTTTGCGCTATAAACAGTTTCTTTGTTTCTATTATAAAATTTGATGAGGCAGCACTGATGGGCACTGATAGGCAGCACTGAAGGGCACTGATAGGCAGCACTGATCGGCGACAGTGATAGGCAGCACTAATGAGGTGGCACAGATAGGCAGCACTGATAGGCAGCACTAATGAGGTGTCACAGATAGGCGGCACTGATAGGTGGCACTGATAGACAGCACTGATAGATGGCACTGACTGGCATCACTGCTGGGCACTGACTGGTGGCTGGTGCTAGGCATTGACTGGCACAACTGCTGGGCACTGACTGGCACAACCACTGGGCACTGACTGGTGGCGCTGACTGGCAGCACTGCTGAGGCTGCACTGATGGGCACTGGTTGGTGGCACTGGTGGGCACAGGTGGGTGGCACTGGTGGGCACATGTGGGTGGCACTGCTGGGCACAGGTAGGTGGCACTTCTGAGCACAGGTGTGTGGCACTGCTGGGTGGCACAGGTGGGTGCACTGCTGGGCACAGGGTGGGCGCACTGCTAGGCACAGGTGGGTGCGCTGATGGGCACAGCTGGGCGCACTGCTGGGCACAGGTGGGTGCACTGCTGGTCACAGGTGGGCGGAACTGGTGAGTGGCACTGCTGGGCACTGATCATCAGGGCACTAATTATCAGTGCCCTGATGATCGGTGCTGATCCCTGCTCTGACAACTGCCGGGTTCTCGGCAGTACTTTACTCCCGCTCTGACAGCGTGAGGAAAGTGCAGCCGAGAACCGGCAACTGCATTTCCCGGTGATCAGCGTGTCATTGGACATGGCTGATCATGTGGTAAAAGGCCGCTGTGATTGGCCTTTTACCACATCACGTGATTAGCTGTGTCTGTAGGAGATCACGGAGATCGCCAGGTGCGCGCCCCAGGAGAGCGCGTTCTGGGAGGGCATCATATGACGCCCTCCCAGAACTGGCCGGCCGCAGTGTAGCCGTCATTCGGCTATCTGCAGTCGGCAAGTGGTTAAGGATAAGTTCACCTTTGGGAGCATGTTACATGTTCCACCATTTGTTAGGGTGGAAAATGTAACCTGTTCCCACTCTTGGAGCTGCTGCCTGCTCTGGTTCATCTAGTGACAGCTAGTGAGGAATCTTCTCCCCCCACTAGCTGTTAGTATTTACAAAAAAAGTGGCCATGTGGGGCTCTGCCCACCTGGCTATGCTATTCATTCACATAGTTCTGTGAATGGAAAACTACAAGTACCGACAACCTTTGCGGCTGTCGGCTTGTAGTTTTCAATGAACTACCATGCAGGGGCGGACTGACCATTTGGAAACTTGGGCACTGCCCGAGGGCCCGGAGTCAGTAGGGGGCCCCTTATGATGCCCCTGGTACTTTTTTCATAGGCTTTTATGAGTTTGGGCAAGGACACAGGGGCCCCATGATCCCCTATTGCCCGGGGGCCCCATGAGTTGTCAGTCCACCCCTGCTACTGTTGTACGCTGTGGAAGTTCATTGCCTCTTCCTTTCAGTTTGTACCTCTTTGCCAATACAAGGTACGAACAGATAGATACACTGAGAAGACTGCCGGAGTCCTTCATGGCACCCGCAAACTACTGATTGCAGGAGCAATGCTTTCTAGGCTCAGTGTAAGAAAAATAATAAATGCATGTTTTTTACTTGCAAAAATATGAGCATTTATTTAATTTATTTTTTTTATAGATGTGAACTTATAGTTTAAACAGGGAAAGTACCTGTGTGGTTGGGCTTTGGGTTATGTTGAAGACTTTGCTCTTGACATCACTTTGAGACGTTTCTTAGATCTTTCAGAAAAGACCTGCATTCTTTCTGACATGTTTTAAGCTGAATTTGCCTTCCTATAGGCGCTTTATGGGGAGGAAACATTTTTGACTTGAACACAATCCCATTGACACAGGCCCTAGTGTTGTCCATCAACCAGGCACCTAATATATTTATTTATATATATTTATTTAAACAAAGAAACCCTTCTTTGTCATCTATTCTTTCCTATTTTTCTCAAGGTTGCTTACAAATTGAAAGTCTTTTGTTCTCTTGCCTAAATGATTTGTGCTTCTTTGTGGATTAGCACTCCAGGGAGATCAGTATCCTAAGCAAGAATCTCCTTCCTTGCTGAATAAGTATCTAGTTACGTGTATTTATGTTGTGGCAGGCACAGCATCTGTTCTGGAAAGAACTACAAACTGATTATTCTAGTTATAAAAGACAAATATACAATTTAAAGGCTTGAGAAATGCCATATTGTTTCCTTTTTATTAGCATCATTGTGTATATATGAAAGATGATCACCTATTTATAATTGTGTCTGTGAATAAAAATATCAGTGTAGAAGTTATGGGGATATATGAAAGTAGTTACACTTTGGCAGAGACGCACTGTAAAACTTAAACAAATATTTTATACTCGTACTTGTGTAGTATATGTTCCTGTACAAATTGGAATGCTGAGCATAAAATAACCCTGGTAGTAATATTTTAAAGAGCATCTTTTTAAAAGCTCTGCGGCAGACTTTACTTTTTATTACTCTACAAACAGATCAAGATTTTGTTTTAAAAAATGCTGTATGAAAGGCAAGGTATGAAACAACATTATGCTTTATTTGTATTAGTGTTATGTGCATTTACCCAGAGAAAGTGTCCCTTTGGCCATTATCTTTGCTGGCTCCTATGCTGCTCAGTGGGGAGCTCCTGATAAATGCCTCTTCTTTCCGGGTGTAAAGGGGCCTGAGACCTCCTACCCAATACAGTGCTCCATTACGAGTGGCCAATCACCAGGCCTGAGCACCTGACAGGTTGGTGGAATTGTTTACCCAGTGTAAGCGACAACTCCATCAGTCATGGAGCTTGCAAGAACTAGGGATTCCTAACTCTGATGGAAGAATGGAGTGACGATGGAGCATAGGGTAGATGAGTATCAGTGGGCAGGGTTTTTTTCTACAAGAAGACCTGCTACTTTTCCCTGAATCGGCTAAGTGACAGAGGTTTCAAGAACAATGTTCCACCACAGGGTGGCTACTGTGGATGCATAATGCTTGTACAAAAGTGCCACATCCCAAAAACTTACAGTACTTAGAAATTCAAACACATGGATTTTTAGGCACAACAATTTTCATTAAAAAGGTACAAATTTGTAGCCTAAGTGACAGAGTTTTTTTTAAATGTTATGAAAACAGTAGAGCAACTGCAATTTAAAGGCAAACAAAATTTTTATTACTAGCATTTTTACATAAAATGTTCTGTGTATGAAAGTCAGCAATATACATACAGTCATTTTCTGGTGATGCGAGAACCTCTGCCCATGATAAAGTACGATCAGGGAAGGTTTTCTGACTGCAGTAGACCTTGTATGCAAAATCATAATTTTGGGCTCCCCTTCTGGTATCCAGGCTCAGGAATAAAAACAAAACCGTGTGACAAAATGGGAGCATGATGAGAATAATGAAAAACCTGGGGCACCCGGGGAAAGAAAACAGAAGAATGGTGGGTATGGTTTAAAGGGATGACTAAACAAAATGTGCTTATTCATTGTAAACACTGCTAACATGCCACAGCCCTTGTACACCCAAAATACTACTAAAGGTGGTGAAAGAAGAAATGCCCCGACATTAGTTAGGAATCAGGAAAAAAATATTCTTGTGTAGATGGTGTCACTGGAAGGAAAACATGTCTCTGAATTGGAGGTGTCACTAGAAGACACAAATGTCCCTGCATGGAAGGGGTCACTGGAAGAAAAAAATTATTTTGTGTCATTGTGAGAGGGAAGAAAAAATTCCATTGTATCTGTGTCATCGGGAGGAAAAAAAACAAGCAGTTCAAAGTGGAGGGAGTGTAGTTGATGGCAGATATAGGCAGTACAGAAGGAGAAGTTGAGGTGGGGGTAGGCCGTAATGAGAGGCCAGTTAATAGTGAAGAACAGGCAGTACATAGATATAAAAAGCAATACACACAAGCCCCACCTTCCTCCCTGGTCTCTCTCATTGCCCCCTCCAGTGTGGCCCCTGCACTGATCTTATCCTTGAGCTTGGGGCCCCAGCAGTTGGTATTGTATTAGAAGTTCCATTCCCAGGCTCTGAGGCTGATCTTGCTCCTGCCCCGGTTCATGTGGGTCCAGGGAAAGGACCTAAAATCCCTTACTGTCAATGTAGCTAATCATATTGCAGCTTCCTCCCCTTTCTCCTCCCTGGGCCATGCTGTCCAAGTGATGGGGATTAGAGAAGTCCAGCATTATGGTTATTATGTTGGGGCTGAGAAGTTCTGGATTTCCTTTGAGCTGCAGCTCCAGGTGACAGAAGAGAATGGAATCCCCAAAACATGCAATGAGTGCACAGTGGGCTCTTGAGCCTTAGGGCATGCGTCCACTCTTTAGGGATATGCCAGTGAGTGGGATGGACTGACATGTTATATTCACAAAAAAATGCCTAAGGCACTAAAAATGTGGGTATCCTAATTATGTGTTTAATTTTGACTGAAGTATACCTTTAAATCAGGCCATGCAGGCAAACTAGGACCACTAAAATTACTGAGGGTTAATTATTATTATTTATTAATTATTATGGATAATAATGTGGAGATGTTACTTTTTAGTACTATTTTTCATTTTTTGCAGCCTAGCTACCTTCAGAGATAGTGTAAGAAGATAGTGTTTTGGAGGTAACCCTATCTTTAAGTGAGACTGGAGTTAGAGAGCTCATTTTGCAATGGTGCCTCCATGTGCCAGGATGACTTCACATGTATTTGCAAATGTATGCAAGAAACAATTCTGTTTTTAATTCAAAACATTGAAACAGTTTAATTAGGCTTTTGAGCTGATTAGCTGAAGAGTGTACTGGGAAATGTTTGCTCTGTTGTTTGGGCTGCCCTGCCCTGCCCATGTGCACCTTTCCTTTTGGTAGTTATAAATTGATCTGGGCAGCTGCCATTTTTTGCTTTGTTGGCTGTCATTGAGGGTTCGTCAGCCAAGCATAGTACAATGCCATGTAGAAAAAAGTAAAAACATTAATTCTTTGCCAAGTCTCTCTTCTGTTGTGTTCATTGCTATATCTATTGGATACATATTAGGCAAAACAACAACATGCTAAAATTGTATATTTAGCCTTTAAGGATCCATTTGTGGCTGCCTTTACTACTTACTACCACTCAGCAGTGGGCAGAACTCAAATGGTTCAGTGAATCCTGAAGAGTGCAGCCTTCATAGATTATTTAGTGTACAGAAACGTGCATATGTGCTATCACTTTGGATTGATTGTCTACTAAGAGTTCCACATGACTGCCCATTTGTGTAGTCATCACTTACATCTTGGTGATCAATAAACCCTTGCAATGACACTTGAGAGGTTTGCTAAACATAAATACCATGGGCACAGGAAGAATGTATATGTAAAATTTGTATAGTGTTGCTTTTTATTTAGAATTCGATTACTTGGTTTCCATAACTTTGAGCTTAAGATGGAGCCTCACACTACTAGTCATGTGCCATATAAGATTGGGAAATGCAGGTTTATATTGTTCCACCTACTCCCAAATGAAACCTAAAAATATCTGCTCAAATAATATATTGGCTGGGTGTCAGAAGGTTTACATTTTTCATCATGACAAAATTGCTTTGCTTACCTGTCTTACTGTTATAAATTCAGTTTTCAAACCCCCAGCTCCATTCAAAACTTTTGTTTTGTATACAGTGGGGAAAGGTAAAATGTCAAGTTTTATTTCTGGTCTAAGACACCATAGGGAGGTTTTTCCTTACTTTAAAGTGTTACTAAACCCACAACAGTAAAATTAATCTTTATATGCAGTAATGCATGTTTGTTATACTCACTGTTGAACCTTAGGTGTTAATCCTCCATATTGTGTG